AGAGATGCATTTTTTTTTCCTTTTTGTCTTTTTTACTGGCCGGTAACAGGATCGCAACCCTTGGTGTCACGCCCGTACCCGGGACCGGCAACGGGATCGGCAATGGGATCGCAACCCTCAGTGTTGCGCCCACTCCACGCTCAGCCAGTGAGCGGGAACCGGTCACCACATGGGATCCAAACCCTCGGCGGGAGCCCGGGACCGGCAACGGGATCGGCAACGGGATCGGCAACGGGATCGCAACCCTCAGTGTTGCGCCCACTCCACACTCAGCCAGTGAGCGGGAACCAGTCACCACATGGGATCCAAACCCTCGGCGGGAGCGCCGCCGTGCTCCCAAGCGGCGCACTCTCCAGTGCGCCACCAGGCTGGCCCAAGAGATGCATTTTTAAATGCTAAAAGAAAAGAACTGTCAACTCGAAATTCTATATTTGGAGAAAATACTCTTCAGGAATTAGTATGAAATAAAGACAGTCTCAGATGGAGAAAAACTAAGAGAATTTGCTGCCAGTAAATTTGCTAAAAGAAAAAAAGGAGTGGAGGGGGGGCTGGCCAGTTAGCTCAGTTGGTTAGAGTAAGGTGCTGATAATACCAAGGTGCAGGGCTCAATCCCTGTACTGGCCAGCTGCCCAAAAAGAAAAAAGCAAAGCAAAGCTAAACAAACTTTTGCAATTGGAAGGGAAATGATACCAGAAGGAAACCTGGAACATCAGTAATGAAAAAAGAATAACAGAAGTAGTAACTATCTGTGTAAATATAATACTATTCATCTCCTCTTGAGTTTCTTAAAATAGGCTTGATGATTGAAAGTAAAACATATTGCATTGTCTGGTGGGTCTTTAATGCCTGTGTACATGAGACAATGTTAAGATGGGGAGGGACAGTAAAAGGCCTGGATGGTGGTTAAGTTTTCTACATGCCACTTGAAATAGTAAAATATTAGGTCTAAGTAGACTGTGAAAAGTTAAATATATATATTATAATTATACAAAGAGAAAATTTATAGTAAAAAACACAATAGCTAAATTAAAATGTAATACTAAAAATGTTCAAATTACACAAAAGGAAGGAAAGAGGAAGAAGAGAGTTAAGAAACAGAGCAGAATTAATAAAATGGTGCATCTAAATCCAAATATATTAACAATTTTATGAAATGTAAGTGGTGTAAATACACCATTAAGTGTAAAAACACCATTAAGACAGATTTTCAAAATAGACTTAAAAACCCTTCCCAACTATATCCTATCTATAAGAAATTCAGTCAAATATAATACAGGTAGACTCAAAGCATAAGGTTTGAAAAAAGATACACTATGCAAACACTAATCAAAAGAAAGCTGAAACAGTTATACGACTATCAGATAAAGGAATAAAGAAGGACATTATATAATGATAAAAAGGTCAATTCACCAAGAAGACATAACATCCTAAATGTACCTGCAAAATACACGAAGCAAAAATGGACAGAAATGAAAACTGTAGACAAATCTACAATTACAATTGGAGACTTCAACACTTCTCTCTTGGTAATAGAACAAGTAGACAGAAAAATCAGCAACAATACAGAAGAACTGAACAATACTATCAACAAACTAAATCTGACATTTATAAAACAATCCACCCACCAAAAGCAAAATATACATTCTTTCAGGTACACACAGAACATTTACCTAGACAGACCATATCTTGGCTCTAAAATAAACCTTAACAAATGTAAAAGAATTGAAACAATACAAAATAAGTTCTCTGACCATAAGAGAATTAGATAAGAAATCAACAACAGAAAGACGTAAGAAAATCTCCAGCCCTTGGAAATTAACTGATATACTTATAAATAAATAATCCACAAGTCAAAGAGGAAGTCTTAAGAAAAATTAGAAAATAATTTGAGCTGAATGAAAATGAAAATGCAACATAATAAAATTTGTGGGATGCAGCTAAAGTAAGGTAGAGGGAAATTTACAGCATTAAAATGCTAATATTAAAAAAGAAGAAATGTCTCAAATCCTAAGCTTTTACCTTAAGGGTCTAGAAAAAGAAAAGCAAAATAAAATCCAAAGCAAGCAGAAGGAAAGAAATAATAAAGATAAAGCAGAAGTCAATAAAACTGAAAAGAGAAAAACAATAAAGGAAAAAAAATCCATGAAACCAAAAGCAATTTTTTGGAAAAATCAACAAATCTACATACCCTCTTCAGAAACCTTAAAAGGAGGAAATAATTCCCAACTCATTTTATGAGACCAGCATTACAAAAAAAACAAACCAAACAAAAAAACCTAGGTAGAGCCCGAGAATATTTATTTCTCAAAAGTTTGAGGGCCTCCAGGATCTAGGACTGGGACTCTGAAGATAGCCTCATGGCACGGGCCTAATGCAGAGCCCTGGTCCTACTGTGACAGATAATGACTAGGGCTATGCTGAGTGCAACTGAGCTCAGTGCTTGTTTATACAGACACTCGTCAACTTACAATGGGGATGCACCTGCTGATAAACCTACTGTAAGCTGAGAACATTGTTAAGTCGAAAATATATCTACTACACCTAACCTACCAAACATTATACCTTAGCTTAGCCTACCTTAAATGTGCTCAGAACACTTACATTCGTCTACAGCTGGGCAAAATCATCTAACACAAAGCTTATTTTATAATACAGTGTTGAATACCTCATGTAGTTTATTGAATACTGGACTGAAAGTAAAAAACAGAATGGCTGCATAGGTATTCGAAGAACAGTTTCTACTAACTGCTTATTGATTTCACACCATCATAATTATAAGTAGAACCATCATAAGTCAGGGACCGTAACTGTGATTCTCTGATCAGACTGGAGGGCAGCCATGTGTCACACTAATTGCAAGTAAGTGTCATTACCAACTACTTTTGCCTCAAGAACACTCGGCATCCAGGAAAGACAACATGAGAGCTGAAAGTCAAGCATGATGCCAGGCGTCAGATTTTAAAGGCCCATGCAAGAAGCTGCAGAGCTCGGTGGTGAAAAGTTTGACGTTGGAGCTGGGAGACCTGGGTCAAGTCCTGGCACTGCTATTTACTGGGGGCTGTGCCCCTGTTTAGGGTTTAATTTCTCTGAGCTTCAGGGTCCTCTCCCTGAAGAAGAGTAACATCCACCCCTGCGTGGGGAAGCAAAGCTTGTATATAAGGTGCCGGCATTAACAGACCATCTACTAATCCGGGCTGTGATTTCATGAGAACGTGCTTTACACTTAGAGCTGGTTAAGTATTTGCTGAACTAACAGTGACATAACCAAACCAATGCTGCCAAAGTCCATGAACGTTCAGTTAAAACTTTAGAGCTAAGATGCTTACACTATACTTAAACTACTTAAAAATTAAACTACTTCAAAACCAGCTCACTAAATTAAGAAGTAGAAGCAGGATAAAACAGCATCAGGCTGAAACAGCTGGTCATTGTCACTCCATGGCAAACTGCATGAGCCACATAAGAAAACTAATCTTAGGTCATAAGAAAGATTTTCAGGATTTTATTCTGAACTTAACCCACTTTCTGACTTTCCCTATGACACTAACCCCTTTATCAAAGCCTCATATCTATTAAGCATGTCTTGTATTTGATCTAGGTACTGTAACTAGATCAAAACCCCGTAACTAGCATGACCTTCTTTGATTCTTAATCTTTTGCAATTCTGTCCTGTCTTCTACAGCGGCAAAACACAACATCCTCCATAGAGGCTTCAGGGAGCTCTTCTGGCACACTGCCTCCACTGGGGCAGGGTCCTGCTCACACAGCCCCAGACCCCCAGACTCCCAAGAAGTGGAGAATGTGTCTTCCCTAGCCCCCTGGCCACACTGCCCACTGAACACAGTTTACAGTTCTGTCCCACCAACAGCTCCTCCATCAGTGGTGAAATATGACTATAATTCAAGTTCACAGAGAAGGTGAAGAAAAGGATCCAAGGACACACTGATAACAAAACAGAAAGCCTCGGCCGGGTGGTCCCTTCTCCCCTCTGCTCTTAGCAGCCACTGGCACCTTATTTTCACAGGCTCCCTTAGCTCAAAGGCTTTGAGTTCGACTGTGTGTAGAAACTACCTGGGGAATGAGCAAAGAAAGGCAGCCTCCTGGCCCCTCTCACAGATTCAGATGCAACAGGGTGGGCTGAGCTCAGGAGGCTACTTTTCTTTAATATGCCCTCCCTCAAATACATGCTGAACTTCAAATGTGAGTGGTTTAATAACTTTTTGGGAAACATAATAAAAACAAGAGGACAGAGCACAGAGGAACAACAAAGCATAAAGTAACACGCAAGAGAAAGAAGACGGAGCTGCCAAGGGAGCATCACATGGGACCACCATGGCCGTGGGCCCCAGAGGGATGGTGCTGCACGGGGGCTGAGACACCAAGGCCCTGGTTCCAAGAACTACGCAAAAAGGGAGGACAAGCAACATGAAGGTGACGCCAAGGACTCTTGCACCCTCTGGAACGTGATGGGGCCCCATTCCCATGTCCCACGACTGAGCTTTACTTACAATCCAGTCGATTCAAGAAGCAAATTCAAGGACTATGGAGACTCATTAACAAAGACCATTAAACAAAAAACAAAACACTCGAATTATGTTACATTTTTAAAGAAGTCTAAATCCATACCCATTGAGCAGTCCCACTAAGCTCCAAAGCAGGGAAAGAGGAGGGGGTCGGGAGCAGGCAGACTCTCCTGCTGCCCGCGCATCACCCCTTCCAGACATGCACGACGGGTTGCTGCTGGCTGGTCTGTCTCCAGAGCTATTGGCCAGAGACTGTTCTAGGCTTGCACCCGAGTGTTGGAGTCCTATTGCCAATTGTCAGATTCTAAAAATTTGGTCTGTGAAGGGTAACTAATTTCAGTAGGACTCTAGTAGGAGATCCAGGAAGAGCACTCAGATCTCCTTCCCTTCATTTAATAAGAATTCCCTGTGCAAACTACATTTCTGTATATTCTTGAAACCATAATTAAGCTCAAATTACTTTGAGTAATCACAATCTGTTGCCTCAAAACAGCAATTAAATATCACACCACACTCAATTTCCTAACACATTTTGGAATTCTCTAATACACAGATAAAATAATTTAGAGGTAACAGATACCTGGTCAAATAGGTAGACTGTGACATCATCAAAAAATGTTACTGCCTTCTTTTCTTTCTTCCAGTCATCAGGTAGCTGATCAATGGCCACGGCTGCAGATGGTTTCAACAAACTCCGCAAGTTTCTCCCATCCTCGGCATTGCTGAGGATCACAGGCACGGGGTGCTCAGTTTCATCTTCTGACTCGGAGCTGAGGCTGTGCAGGTTGAAGGCCCGCAGGTCTTCATCAGAGTCGTCACTGTTTTCGTCTTCTTCGTCCGCATCAATGCCATCCTCAGAGAGATCGAGCATCCCGGACACACTGAGTTTCCCCAGGTATTTCCCTTCAATATCTGGCTCCTTCAACTTAGGGCCCTCGGAGTGTCCAGATAAGGACTTATCCACTGTAGAATTTGCATACACAAGGAGTTCATTAGTGTTGGTTCCAGTCGAAGTGAGGGTGCAGGGGCAATCTTCTTGTGTCGTGAAGTCATCACCACCGCTAAGTTCAGAATTCAGCAGACTCAAGGAGGGACTGCCAGCCTCATCCTCTGTAGGATGCATCTGTTTGGAAACATCACCTTGTGCTGGCTCCAATGTTTCTCTTAATTCCAGGTGACTGGGATTTTGCAAAGCGTACAGACAACTTTGATCTGGGTGTCCCTTTTGGTTTTCCAGGCAACTATCCTTGGCACCAGGGCTTTGTTCTGGAATGACTGGCTTGGGCAAAGCCTGACCCTGTTCCAACACCAAGGCCAATGTGGAGGTTCCTGGGACCTCCTCAAACTTTTTATCAGGCTCAGAGTCATTGTCAGAGAAGTACGCAGAGTCTCGATATGAACTTTGGAAGCCAGGTGCAAAAGTCTGTGAGGTGGCTTCTGTACCTCGGTGACCATCGCCTACATCTGAGATGATGATGACCGGGTTGGAGGGCAAACTGCTACGACCACCATCAGCCACTGCAGCTGAGTCTGAGTCTGAGGTGCCTTCGGGGGCAGGGTGCAAAGTCCACTCAGGAGACTCCAAGTTTTCTGTTTCGTAGCCACTGTCTGCCGGCTTATCAGGGGGCACGAGTTTCTGAGGAGCACGGGAGCCTAAAGAATCCAGTAAGACTGCATGGACATCCACTGAATCCAGAGAGTCTGGGGTTTCCACTGATTGTTCTGAGGTTGGAATAGGTGTTGACAAGCTGTCTTCTAAGAGGCTGTCTTGACTGGTGGAGTCTGAGGAAAGGGCAGACACCAAGCCTGCTTCCTTTGTAGCATCTTTATAATTGAGCTGATTTAAAGTCTCCACAGCTTCCAAGTCTTTCTCCAGCAAACTATTACTATGATGGTCTTCTGAAAATGGTTTATTTTGTAAGTTCTGTCTCAGTTCTGGGGGACTACTCCCTATACTCACCCTACTAGCAAGAATATCATCAACAAGAACAGAGTCACTTTTGGTTAGTCTCAAAGTCTCCTCACTTTGGAGAGTCAAGTCCTGGGACCCACGCCCAACGCCGTGGGTTTTGGCATCAGTCAAGAGAATTTCAACGGGGACAGTCACAGAGTCTGGATTCATGTCCAGGCAGAGAGAGTCCTCAGGGACACTGACATCTAAACTCATGGGTTTTGTTTCTCCTGGCTTCAGGAATGAATCTAGAGGTACACTAGGAAGTGTTTCTTCTGTTTCCAGTGAGGTAGGAGGTACCTGCACTTCTGGGGACGACTGCAATGAGGTGCTCAAGGAGTTGCCCTTGAGCGTGACGCCTATATCTTTACCTTTTGGGCTTATGTTTTCTTGTAACAAAGAAAAGCCTGATTTATTTTCAGTTAACTTAAGCTTGGTATCTAAAGAGTTACTATGTGAAGTCTCTAACATTGTTTCAGTGTAGCCAGCATTCTTAAGTTCTGTTTCAAGATCATTTATATGTTCTTTGCTAGACAACGAATCTTTTAATAAGTTCTTCTCTTGAAGAAATAAAAAGTTTTCTGACAATTCTTGAACATCCAATGGATGGAAATTATCTTGGTGCATATGATTTTCTGATAAGCAAAGAGGGTCACAGTCAAAAAGCTTATGGGGCTTTTCCTTCTCAATGTGGCAAGTTATTGTTGACTCTTTGGGGTCATCCAAACTTGGGTTTAAAGTAGTTGGCTTAAAGTCAGCTTGAACTCCATTGAGTTCCATTAAGTCAAATATTTTTTGGTGACTGGGCAAATCCTCCGATTTGTCAAGGTCATTAAATATATTATTGAAAGGGCTCTCGGTGCCACCAGTCACATGTAAGTCCTCAGGTAAGCTAGAATCTTTGGGGTCTGCACTGCTTTGAAAGAAATCCTCATCTGTACTAGATTCCTCAAATTCCAGGTTCTTGTGAGCCGAAAACCGGGTTGCCTCAGCACCTATCCTGTCTGGATTATCCATTTCAGTCGTGAGCAATGCGGGTGGGTAATCAAGCTCTAAGTTGCTACCACTTTTTTCTTCTAATTGGATATAATAGTCACTTCCAACAGAAAGGTTGTGGGCATCAAAGACAGGAACCACTCCAGGGGCCCTAAGGGGGACCTCCTGGCCACTGTCATCCTGTTTTCCAGGCCCGGGATCTGAAAGGGAACTCTCAAAAACTTCAACGGGAAAGAAGATGCTTGTGTAGGACAAGGCTTCCTCTGGGTGGCCCCGACTGCGCTCGTCAAAATGGTCATGCTTTGCAGCCTCCCAGACATATTCAAAGCTCAGGCCCTGGCTCGTTTCGGTCACAGTGAGGACTTCCTCCAGTTCACGACCAAGCCGATCTCTGGTAAAATGGTCGAGAATCGGGAATGCGGCATTGTTGGAAGTGTCTCTGTTGTTGGTATTTGGTTTAAGAGCATTCCACTGTTGTTCAAAGTCGACTTCCGAGTCCCGCTGGCTCTGCATGCGCAGGTAAGTCAGCAGTCTGTGCACATCTTCGGCTGCTGGTCTCTTGTCAGGTGACAGCCAACAGAGGTGTAAAACTTCATACCTGAGCAGCACATGAGAGGTAATTACTGGGATGATAATAAATCACTCTAAAGTAAGAAAAGACTTTACAAGGACCCCAAAGCCAACCCAGCACCCTAAGGGTTTCTACACCTAATCACTGCCAATCACATTAAGGAGTTCAGTTCATGGTGAGATCATAGTGAAAGAGGAAATGAAGAAAAATATAACATCGGCCCTCTAATTTTTTGTGTTTTCAGGATGTTTCACAGTAGTCTAACTGCAGTTCATTTGTCCTGTCATTTTTTCTTCTGGTGTTTATCCAATGACTCATCCACTGAATTTAGAAACAGTTTTAATATGTTCTTCTCTTAAAACAGCTGCCAGAGGTATTCCTTTTAGTAAAGGAGGCACTTGTCCTAGATTTTTAGATTTACTCATATTATTTTGTGAGAATTCACAAAAATGCTGCTATAACTAATATCTAACTATTTTCCTGATAACAAGTAACTACAGTCTTCTGTAGCACATGGTTTCTTGTGATCACAACGTGAGTTGAAGATGGAAGGAAAAGGGCAGAGAATGCAGTGCAAAGGAGGAGGCAGCCTGGAGNTTTTCTCATGTATTAGATATCACTTATCTAAATTTATAGCCTCGTTTTAAAACAATTCTACAACAGGAAACTCCCTTAATATTGGCTTTTCTAATTAGCTCAGACTTATTTTTTTCTTATTGCACATAATATATAAATTCCTGCTTGTTGTAAACATTTTTCAAAAATGACATTAATACTGAACGTATGAACTAACACCCATGGAAATATGATTTCCTTGTCTTTTGAAGATAACAAAACAGCATGAAGTTACCAACCATCTATCAGAATAAGGCTGCTCCAGCAGGGGCTTAGGGAGTTTTGTGTCTCTCTCTCTAATGACATGATTGAGAACGTCTAAGTTGGAAAGGTTTGAATAGGGCTGAGCAGCATTATTGAAAAGCTCCCAAAGTGTCACACCCAGGGACCTGTGGAAAAGAGAAAATGCTTATTTCCTTCTTCCTTTAGATGTCAGATTTTTAACACCCACATTTTTATTTGTACAGTCATTTTAAGGACAAAGTATCTACTAAAAAGGTTATGAATAAAAAGACAGTTTTTTTAACATGATAAAATTAGCTCTCAAACCCATAATCAACATCACAATGAATAGCAAAAAGAGACATTTCCATTAAAATGAGGACAACAAGCCTGGCTCCTCACATTTACTACTGAACAGTATTCTAGAAGTTTTGGCCAATACCAAAAAACATGAAACAGAGATAATAGGCATAATTACGGGGATGAGGTAATAAGACTGTCAACTTTATTTATTTATTTATTTATTTANACAGTAGTCTAACTGCAGTTCATTTGTCCTGTCATTTTTTCTTCTGGTGTTTATCCAATGATTCATCCACTGAATTTAGAAACAGTTTTAATATGTTCTCTTAAAACAGCTGCCACAGGTATTCCTTTTAGTAAAGGAGGCACTTGTCCTAGATTTTTAGATTTACTCACATTATTTTGTGAGAATTCACAAAAATGCTGCTGTAACTAATATCTAACTATTTTCCTGATAACAAGTAACTACAGTCTTCTGTAGCACATGGTTTCTTGTGATCACAACATGAGTTGAAGATGGAAGGAAAAGGGCAGAGAATGCAGTGCAAAGGAGGAGGCAGCCTGGAGCTGGGTCTTCCTAGGGTCGGCTGAATATGGCAGCATCTTAAACTACAGCCATAAGCAGGAGGGAAGACAAAGACAGCTTCGACGTATCAAATATACAGAGTATATGTCAAGTTATTCTGCGTGAAGAGTTCTAGCAACTTGGGGAGCTGAGGAGCACCTAAACACACTGGTGCCAGGCTTCCAAGGCCAGCTGGGCAGATGGTGGTAGAGACAGTGGTCTGAAGAGAGGGGAACGTGATCCTAACTGGAAAGTGTAAGAACTGTTCCAAAGACTCTCATAAAAAGGAAATTTGTTTTGCAAATGTCAATATGCATTATACAAATTAGTTTCCATTACCAATTTGAACATTATAATTTTTATCTATCCATATGTTTTCTCATGTATTAGATATCACTTATCTAAATTTATAGCCTCGTTTTAAAACAATTCTACTACAGGAAACTCCCTTAATATTGGCTTTTCTAATTAGCTCAGACTTATTTTTTTCTTATTGCACATAATATATAATTCCTGCTTGTTGTAAACATTTTTCAAAAATGACATTAATACGGAACGTATGAACTAACACCCATGGAAATATGATTTCCTTGTCTTTTGAAGATAACAAAACA